TCATCTCTCTTTCCTGTATCTCTCCCACCTCCCTCGTCATCCACAAGGCTCTCCATTCCGCCTCTTCATCCCCCCCCCCTTCCTCTCCCACTTCATACTTACACTTTCATCATTTTTCCTACTTCTTCCCTCTTTCTCCTGCCCTTTCCCATCTCCCTTCCGCTCACTCCTTCAAACATCTCCCTCCCTCTCCTATTCCCCTTCTTCTCCCACCTCCCCCTCCTACCTCCCACCCTCTTCCACTACTCCCCTTATTCCCATCCCCTGCTCGCACCCACTATATCTTCAGTCACGCCCTCAAGTTTTCCCTCACCCACCTCTCTCTCACTTCCTCCCTCGCCCACTTCCCTCTCACTTCCGCCCTCTCTCATCTCCATTTCCCCTCCTCCCTCTCTCACCTCTCCCTCACTTCCTTCCTCTCTCACCTCCTCACTTCCTCCCTCACCCTACCCCTNTCTTCTCTCTCTCTCTCTCTCTCTGCTCTCTCTCCTCTCTCTCTTCCTCTCTCTCTCTCTCTCTCCTCTCTCTCTCTCTCTCTCTCTCCTCTCTCTCTCTCTCTCCCTCTCTTTCTCTCTCTCTCTCTCTCTCTCTCTCCATCTCTCTCTCTTCTCTCTCTCTCTCTCTCTCTCTCTCTCTCTCTCTCTCTCTCTCTCTCCTCCTTCTCTCTCTCTCTCTCTCTCTCTCTTCTCTTCTCTCTTCTCTCTCTCTCTCTCTCACACGCGCTTTCATCTCGCGAAAATAACAAATTAAAGTTTCATTAACATCCTTCTTTGTTAACGAGGGAAAGGAGAACAAATTCCTGGAATCATATGATAACACCAAGTCACTGAGGCAGATGCTTAGGTTGGCTTCCTCTGTCTCTGACTGTGTTTCTGTTTCCTTCTGTGTGTGTGTGTGTGTGTATCTTTCTCTCTTTGTCTCACTCTCTCTCTCTCTCTCTTCTCTTCTCTCTCTCTCTCTCTCTCTCTTCTCTCTCTCTCTCTCTCTCTCTCTCTCTTCTCTCTCTCTCTCTCTCTCTCTCTCTTCTCTCTCTCTCTCTCTCCTCTCTCTCTCTCTCTCTCTCTCTCTCTCTCTCTCTCTCTCTCTCTCTCTCTCTCTCTCTCTCTCTCTTCTCTCTCTCTCTCTCTCTCTCTCTCGCTCTCTCTTTTTCTGTATTGATGTATCACTCTGTCTATAACCATCTATTTCTTTTTTCTCCCTTTCTTTTCTCTGATATTAATGGCATTGCTTATCCGATTTCCCAATTCATTCTTACACACACACACACACACACACACACACACACACACACACACACACACACACAACACACACACACACACACACAACACACACACACCACGCACACACATACACAAAAAAATACGTTGTCACTCCCCTTTTTCTACCTCCCCCCCATCTGACCCACCCCCCCTCCCGGTCATTGCAGCCCAAGAGGAATCTTCCTTCAACTGCAAAAGTCAGGAGGAACATCAAGCAAATGACACGGAATAGAAGTTAATGGACTTTTTTAGGCTACCGGAGTCGATGCTTGGGTCATCCCGTGGACTTTGACCTTGTCCTGATCCTTCTGAATATCACCCCAATACCCCTGACCTTTTTTTTTTATCCTCTCTACAGTTCGTTTCTATATTTCTATCCCTGTCTATCTCTTCTATGCCTTCGTCTTCTTCTCTTTGGTCAGATGCCTTTCGAAGGTCACGCCCTCTAACCACTATCCTCTCCTCACACCCTCTCTACATCCCCCCCCCCCCTATCCCCTCTCACACCCTCTTTACATCCCCCCACCCCCCTACTCCCTCTCACACCCTCCTTACATCCCCCCACCCCTACCCCCCTCACACCCTCCTTACACCCCCCACCCCCCCTCCCTCTCACCCTCTTACATCCCCCACCCCCCCTATCCCTCTCACACCCTCTCCTCCCCCCCCTCCCCCCCTCCATATCTTCGAGGGAGATTAGGTGACATGAAGAAAACGAAATAAAGAAAGAAGGAAAATGTAAAAAAAGGAGAGGAATACGTATGAACGGCAAACGAATGGGAAACGAATGGAAGGAATAGGGAGGAAAGGAGAATAAAGCGAAACGAGAGATGGAAAGAGTCAGTTTGAGAATGAAATAAAAGGAAACAATTATCAACCAAAGTTTTATAGGGGGGGGGGGGAGTCTATCTACAGGAAGAGAGAGAGAGAAAAAAAGAAGGAAACTCGTGCAGGGCCGGGTGAGGGTTTTCTCTTTCTCTCTCTCTTCCTTTTCGATCACCTTCTTTTCTCTCTCTCTTCTCCTTTACTCTTCTGTCTCTCTGTCTCCTCTCTCTCACTTTCTTTCGCTCTCTCTCTTCTCTCTTTCTCTGTGTGTGTGTGTGTGTGTGTGTCTCTCTTTCTTTCTCTCTCTCCCTCCTTTCTTTTCTCTTTCTTCTCCCCTCTCTTCTTTCTCTCCTCTCACGTTCTTTCGCCCTCTCTCTCATCATTCATTCTCTCTTCTCTCTCTCTCTCTTCTCTCTCTCTCTCTCTCTCTCTCTCTCTCTCTCTCTCTCTCTCTCTCTCTCTCTCTCTCTCTCTCTCTTCTCTCTCTCTCTCTCCTCCCCCCTCCATCTCTATCTCTTCCTACCTATCTCCCTTCCTATTTACCCAACAACACAGCTTTCCACGCACCCCCTCCTAAGCTGCACATCCCATATCCCTTTGCCAAAACAACACATCCATAACTTAACTACCTGTTTTGATTACGAATTCATCAGACATCAAATAGCAACGGGACGGAGAGAGAGAGGAGATAACACAAACATACCACCATAACAAGACTACAGCGTTCTCGCCATACCATCATACCAGGACGCTTCACACAGCGTGGAAGGTTGGGTTAAGGGGTAGCTGGAGGTTGGAAGCTGGTATGGAACATGGAACAATATTGTGAACGATAGGACGGTGGTTAGTATTTATAACGCCTGGAACGACTTGTAAGGAATAGTAGCGATAATGGTAATAGACGTAATAGCAATAATAGGAATGATAGTGATTATAAGGATGAAGGTGATGGTGATTATGATGATGATGAAGATGGAAACAAACTGCGAGAGATTAGACATGACCAGCGTCCAACCCAACCGACAAGTAGAAGCTGTGTTCACAAGGCTGAGAATCGGACACACAAAATTGACACAGGAACATATATGAAACAAACAAACAATAAAACCGAACAAAAAAAAAAAAACGTAAAATCGAGAGAAAGAGAGAGAGAGAAAGGGAGATAGAGAGAAAGAGAGATAGAGGAGGGAGAGAAAAAGAGAGAGAAAGAGAGAGAAAGAAGCAGAAAGAGAGAGAGAAAGGGAGAGGGATAGAGAGAGACAGAGAGAGATAGAGAAAGAAAGAGAGAGAAAGAGATTCTCTCTGTCATTTAACGGTCTGACATTTTGTGGAAAGATTTACATTCTCAGATCAAAGATATATATTTATTTACTTCCCTTATTTACACTATTAAATGTACTGATCATTGTGACATAGAAGTTCTTATTCGTTTCCTAAGGGAGACTAATATTTCAAACAATATTTAACTATTCATGATACTTGTGCAATTATTTTATAAAGTATATTAATGTTTAATTCTTTAATATGATATTGTTATACATTTTTATCTATGAGACATTTATTGATAGACTTTTAAAGTTTTTAAATATTTTGACTTTAATCTCACAAGGTATTCACCGCTAATGAATCCTTGACTTAACACGACAGATTAATTAGTCAATCATTTATTATTCAAATGGTTAAAAAAAACAACAACAACGCGGAAATGATACAGAAGAATACAGTATTACAATAAATGTTTTAACAGAGCTTGATTCCTGAAATCTTGCTAAAAAAAATAACTAGAATCTATACACATTTTCTGGTTTCTAAAAAAAAAAAAAAAAAAAAAAAAAAAAAAAAAAAACATTTTCCGGTTTCTAAGATTAAAAAAACAAACAAAAAAACTGATTCAATAGACAATAACAAAATGTTGTTTTGTTCCTTATAGGCCTATTCTCCCCCAAGCCTACAGATTTCAAAAGTCTATTTACTTCTATTTAGTAATTCGCATAGGCCTACCGTTTAAAATATCTCTAACCTTCTGCACTTGGATAAAACATTATAAAAAAGTGTCTAAGTGTAGTGTAGTGTAGTGTATATGTATAGTGTATAGTGTATGCATAGCGTATGTACATAGTGTATGTGTGTAATATAGTGTAGCGTATATGCATGGTGTATAGTATAAGTATAGCGTATATAGATAGTGCATATGTGTGTAGTATAGTGTAGTGTATATGTATAGTGTATGTTTACTGTATATATAGAGTATATGTGTGTAGTAAAGTGTAGTGTATATGTATAGTGCATAGTGTATACATAGTGTGTATATTTAAGGTGTATATGTGTGTAGTATAGTGTAGTGTTTATGTATAGTGTACATACAGTGTATATATATAGTGTATGTGTGTAGTGTATTGTATATGTGTGTAATATAGTGTAGTGTATACGTATAGTGTATATACGGTGTATATATATAGTGTATGTGTGTAGTGTAGTGTATATGCATAGTGTATAGTGTACATACAGTGTATATACATAGTGTATATGTGTGTTGTGTCGTGCATATGTCGTCGAATATTACACTTGAGGGATAGTACAGTAAATAGCTTGAGTGACGTAAGGATTATCCGGTCTGAAGCAATTAGCTAGGCGTCTGTAGGCCTATTTCTCGCCGAGTTTCGTCAACTAATTGCTTGTTGGGGGGGGGGTGTGTAAAGGGGGGGGGGAGTTGGGGTTGTGGGAGGGATGGTGGTTGAGGGGGGTAGTGTCTTTGGAGGGGGATAGGGGAGGAATATGTTGAGGGGAGGGGGGGTTGTGAGGGGTGGGTAGTTGGGGTTGTGTGTGGGGGGAGTTGGGGACGGAGGTTATGGAGGGGGAGTAAGGGGAGGGGCTTGTGAAGAAGGGAGGAGGAGGTTGGGGTTGTGAGGAGGCATGAAGGCTTTGAGGGAAGGTGTTGGAGGTAGAGGGTTGTGAGGGGAGTGAGGAGGGTAGGGGGTTGTGAGGAAGGTGTGGGGGCTGGGAGTTATGAGAGGGTAAAGGGGGTTAAAAGGAATGAATGGGGGCGGGGTTGTGAGAGGGGGGAGTTGGGGGTAGGGGTTGTGAGGCGGGAGTGGGGACTGGGGTTTGTGAAGAGGAGTGGGGAGTGTGTGTATGAGAGAGAGTAGGGAGTTGTGAGGATTTGGGGGATAGGGGAGTTATGAGGGAGGAATACACATACATAGACACACACACACACACACACACAAACCCTCACACACAAGCAATCACACGCACAGACACACAGACAACCAAACACACAAACAAACACACCACAGAAACACAAACCAAAACCCACCAAGACACTACAGGAGAAGGGGAACCACGACTCAGAGGACCTCCGAGATCAACCACCTCGCCAAGACCCTCCGCCGAAGACCCTCCTGCCGAAGACCCTCTGCCGAAGACCCTCCGCCGAAAGAAGACCCTCCCGCCGAAGACCCTTCCTGCCGAAGACCTCTGCCGAAGAGAAGACCTCCGCGAAGACCCTCCTGCCGAGAAGACCCTCCCGCCGAAGACCCTCTGCCCCCCGCCGAAGACCCTCCGCTCCCCTCCTGCCGAAGAAGCCCTCCTGCCGAAGAAGACCTCCTCTGCCGAAGACCCTCCTGCCGAGACCCTCCTGCTGAAGACCCTCCTGCCGAAGAACCCTCCTGCCGAAAGACCCTCCTGCGAAGACCCTCCCGCCGAAGACCCCTCCTGCCGAAAAGACCCTCCTGCCGAAGACCCTCCTGCCGAAGACCCTCCTGCCGAAGACCTCCTGCCGAAGACCCTCCTGCCGAAGACCCTCCTGCCGAAGAAGACCCTCCCGCCGAAGACCCTCCCCGTCGAAGACCCTCCCGCCGAAGACCCTCCCGCGAAGACCCTCCCGCCGAAGACCCTCCCGCCGAAGACCCTGCCGAAGACCCTCGCCGAAGACCCTCCGCCGAAGACCCTGCCGAAGACACCTCCTGCCGAAGACCCTCCTGCCGAAGACCCTCCTGCCGAGACCCTCCCGCCGAAGACCCTCCTGCCGAAGACCCCCGCCGAAGAAGACCCTAAGACCCTGCCGAAGTCCTGCCGAAGACCCTCCTGACCTCCTGCCGAAGACCCTCCCGCCGAAGACCCTCCGCCGAAGACCTCCTGCCGAAGACCTCCTGCGAAGACCCTCCTGCCGAAGACCCTCCCCCTCCTGCCGAAGACCCTCCCGCCGAAGAACCCTCCGCCGAAGACCCTCCTGCCCGAAGACCCTCCTGCCGAAGACCCTCCTGCCGAAGACCCTCCTGCGAAGACCTGCTCCTGCCGAAGACCCTCCTGCCGAAGACCCTCCTGCCGAAGTGCCGAAGAGAAGACCCTCCTGCCGAAGAAGACCCTCCTGCCGAAGACCCTCCTGCCGAAGACCCCTCCCCGCGAAGACCCTCCTGCGAAGACCTCCTGCCGAAGACCCTCCGCCGAAGACCCCTCCTGCCGAAGACCCTCCTGCCGAAGACCCTCCTGCCGAAGACCCTCCCGCCGAAGACCCTCCTGCCGAAGACCCTCCTGCCGAAGACCTCCGCCGAAGACCTCCCGCTCCCTCCTGCCGAAGACCCTCCTGCGAAGACCCTCCTGCCGAAGACCCTCCTGCCGAAGACCTCCCGCCGAGAACCCCCTCCCGCCGAAGACCCTCCTGCCGAAGACCCTCCGCCGAGACCCTCCTGCCGAAGAGAACAATTCCCCGCCGTGAATGTGGGGGCCATCAGTCTCTCCCCCCCAACCCCCCCAACCCCCGCCCCCCTCCCTCCTGGCGCTAATGAGGCCGACGTCGAAGTGGGGTATGCCCTTTAATGCCATAATTCCCAGGGCGGCGCAGGTGGCAAGGCTGATCCAAGCCTGGTAATTAGGCTGTCACTCACCATTTACGGTGTCGACGCTCATCGTAGGAGAGGAGTGAGGGAGAGAGGGAGAGGGAGAGGGAGAGGGAGGGAGGGAGGGAGTGGGGGAGGGGAGTGGGAGAGGGAGGGAGGGAGAGAGGGAGAACGCGTATACGAGTGATACAAATATACGAGAGAGAGGGAGAGGGAGAGGGGGAGGGGGAGAGGGAGGGAGGGAGTGGGAGGGAGAGGGAGGGAGAGAGGGAGGGAGGGAGGGAGGGAGGGAGGGAGGAGGGAGAGGGAGAGAGTAGAGAGAGAGAGAGAGAGAGGGGTGAGAGAGAGAGAGAGAGAGAGAGAGAGAGAGAGAGAGAGAGAGAGAGAGAGATATTGACTGATTATTATTTTAAATTATCTGCCGCGTCAAACAGATCATTAGCAGCGAATACAGGAAGAGAAAAAGGTCACACACACACACACACACACACACACACACACACACACACACACACACACACACACACACACACACACACTCCAACACCTACTTTCCACTTCGTAGGCCTACCCTTTCTTCCTCAATCTATCTCTTAATCTATCACAGTCTACAATGACCTGGGAATGCGCTTAAATTTTCCTCCACTCTATCAAGCTTATCATTTCTCTTTGTCTCTCAAATTATGTAAATTATTCGTGTTTCTCGTGTCACTCTTATCGTGTATTGTCCACCGTCTTCTGTTATCGATGTTTTTGGTGTGTTTATCTACTGAATATTGCTTTAGTGCTTTTTTCAGTGTTTCCGGGGCGCCAAGTCTCAATATGAATGGTTTAGTTTTCCTGCTAATTACACCTAATTAAGTTGATGAATAATGTGTTGATTGACGTATTTAGTATTGTATAACTTCCCTTTTGCATTCAGATCCATTGTGACATAAGTATTACTGTATTTTTAGGACTGAATCCGTTGTTAAGTAGATTTCTGGTATGATTTGCGAATGCAGAATTATGTACAAAGATATTATTTATGTCTTAGTATTTAATACGTTCTATCTAGAGCGTCCAAGGCAATCAATTATATTACAAAGTCCATTTTACATTACCTACTTTTGTCGGTGAGTAATTGCTTCTTATCGTTCTTTATCATTATTACTTCTTGTCTCTTGTATAACCTACCATCGTTTTTTTATCATTATCACCTCGTCTTGCCTATTCTCTAACCTACCGTATCGATCTTACCTTTTTCTGTAAAGACTTTTCCCAATCTCTATGATATTTTCTCTTCCAGGAAAGCTTAATAGTTGGATTCCGACAAGCTAATAGATATTGTTTATCAGCTGATGTTTTCCTTCTGTGTTATTTCCTCCTCGCAGTGTAGTGATGATGTCATGATCCTCTACGTCCTGGCCATAACCAAGATCAGCTGTTGAGAAGCCCCGCAGAGCCAAAGACAGCCAGTGATTGGATATCAGAAGGGGATTAGGTATTATAGAGAAAGGAAAAGGTTATATATATTTATATCTGTCTGTCTATTTATCTATGTATATATATATGTACACACACACACACACACATACAGACAAAACAGACAGACACACACACACACAACACACACACACACACACACACACACACACACACACACACACACACACACAACACACACACATATATATATATATATATATATATATATATATATATATATATATATAGAGAGAAGAGAGAGAAGAGAGAGAGAGAGAGAGAGAGAGAGAGAGAGCAGGGAGAGAGAAAGAGAAAGATTCCTTTCAATCTTGCTGATTGACAGGACACATTGAAAGACATTGAGTTTCATTTTTTTTTTCTTTTTTTAACAATCTATGTCGTTTACATAGTATCTGTTATCCATTAATATGTAGAATGTATTCCTATGAGACTTAGTTACATGTTGACCTTGGTTTAATTGCATACAAAAACAGTTGCACTTACACCAAACATGATTTTTTTGTTTTTCTCTATATAAGGTATAATGTTTTACTTTGGTGTATAACGAGTAAATTTTAAGAAATTTACCCTTAACTCTACGGTATGGATCAGTATCATTGGCTTGTATTTTCCAATATATTGTACAATGATCACTTTCTCAAAAAAAAAAAAAATATATATTATATATTATATATATATATTGTTTTTGACAATCGTTTTTTCTTTTTTCCGTGTTGATGCGTCCGGTGAGCTAAATATTTTTTCTTCTTCTCTTGTGAACCGACTCTCGTGTTTTTACTTTCGAAGCGTTCGGAAGGAACACATTTTTCGAGCTAATTTACCGTTGTTTACGCCGTGAAAAAACAAAAACAAAATACATCTACCATGTCAATTGTCGAACATATTTGATATGATGTAGTTACGATGAAAAAAAGAGACCTAGCTAATCAGACTGGCCTCTGTTGTAGCCTTTTAAAACTTATTGAAAACCACCACTATTATTTTTCTGGAGAACTGAAATTTGCCGGTTATTTAGAGCACTCTAGAACCCCCCATCGTTCTCTTTCTAGAGAACTGAAACTTTTAAGCCATTAAGAACACACAGACCCACCATAATTCCTTTCTTGGATAATTGAATTGAATGAGAGAGAGAGAGAGAGAGAGAGAGAGAGAGAGAGAGAGAGAGAGAGAGAGAGAGAGGAGAGAGAGAGAGAGAGAGAGAGAGAATACAGACAATAGATATATACAGCAAACGAAAGAGAGAGAGAGAGAGAGAGAGAGAAGAGAGAGAGAGAGAGAGAGAGAGAGAGAGAGAGAGAGAGAGAGAGAGAGAGAGAGAGAGAGACAGACAGACAGAGAGACAGAGAGAGAGAGAGAGAGGGGGGGGGGAATGTAGTGTGGGGTCTTTTCTGTACTGACGCGTTGTTTTGCCCTGATATTTTTTCTCGAGAGAGAGAGAGAGAGAGAGAGAGAGAGAGAGAGAGAGAGAGAGAGAGAGAGAGAGAGAGGAGAGAGAGAGAGAGAGAGAAGAGAGAGGAGGAGAGAGAGAGAGAGAGAGAAGAGAGAGGAGAGAGAGAGAGAGAGAGAGAGGGGGGGGAGAATGTAGTGTGGGGGTCTTTTTTCTGTACTGACGTGTTGTTTGCCGTGATATTTTTTCGTCAGAGAGAGAGAGAGAGAGAGAAGAGAGAGAGAGAGAGAGAGAGAGAGAGAGAGAGAGAGAGAGAGAGAGAGAATGTAGTGTGGGGTCTTTTTTCTGGACTGACGTGTTGTTTTGCCCTGGTGTCTTTTCTCGACACTTTCATATATTGTAAGTCTGACATTTTGCTGACAGTTCTTGATTGGAGCAATAAAAAAAGGAAAAAAAACACAGTTAACTTGTCCCTAACATTTTTTCTGTCTCTCTCTCCCTCGATCAGAAATGGAAACACGTACGTACATATTTAAATCATGTTTCCCTTTGTTTGCTCTCTCTCTCCTCTCTCACACACACACACACACACACACACCACACACACACACACACACACACACACACACACACACACACACACTCACACACACAAATATTTGTATCATTAACTAAACGAATGATTGAAAAAAAGAAATAAAGAGTGAAGCTTTGCAAACCGGGACGTGAGAGCGACGACAGGGAGGCGAGAAATGACCACAATGATAAAAATACCACGATGGTAAAAATCGATGGTAAATAGAGTTACCATTGTAAACAGACAATGGTAGTATTCACAAACTTACCATCGGAGTTACCATCGTAAAAAGACAGCGGTGGTATTCACAAACGGCTTACCATCGATAAAAGACAGTGGTGGTATTCACAAACAGCTTACCATCGGAGTTACCATCGTAAAAAGACAGCGGTGGTATTCACAAACTTACCATCGGTGTTACCATTGTAAATTTTACCAGTGACCGGAGCACTGGTAAGTCCGCTGATAACTTTTAGGACGACAATGCTAATACATGTTATATAGTCCAAAAATCATTTTATAAACAAAATTTTGGGTTTGTTTTTGTAACTTACGATTGCAATGATGACAAGCACATACCAAACCAGGTCATGATACAGAAATTTCACTTAAAACGAGCAAGAATAACGTCTTTTCCATAACTATAAATAATTCTAAAGAAAAACAAATTTATACATATACTAGCAACGGGAACGTTAAAGGATTATGATAGTTTCCGTGACTGTCGGCACTTTGGCAAAGGACATCAAAACCCAAAGGCATTGTGTAAGAACATGTTCGTATATTTATTTCCTTTTGATGATAAATGACAATCAATAGAAATATGTTTGGTTCGGTTCCTTGTTTGACAATGGAGAGAAATGAGTAAATAGACAAATACACACTGTGTTTGGACTAACTCTTTGGTTGACGGTAAATAATATGTACGTATATGGCAGTGTCTGTACGGGTTCTTATTGTGACGATAAATAATTGGGGGGGCCTATTTAACATCCCACATGACGGTTATGATATGAAAAGAGAGAAAATATGAACAAATTTTCTACGTATACTTATATGGTGCTCTAGCGGCAACCAGAATTTAAAAACGCGTTGTTGCGTCGAGCTTTGTCTACATGTTATGTGATTGGCCAAAGGAGCCAAAGGAATTATGAATGGTGCTCTCTGATTGGCGGAATTGCTTTACTAGAGCCATCTGTTGGCAACCATTAAAACGATTCGATTTACGATTGTATCTGTTGAGGCGAGTTACTATCTGTTCGAGAATCCTACTTTACCATCGCTGGTAAACGCGATGGTAGTTTACCACTGGTGAATGTTACGATCGTAAAGGTAGGCATATCGCGCACAGAGACAGCTGTCCTGAATACAGCTCAGTTAGACACATATATATTTACATACATGTGTGTGTTTGTGTGTGTGTGTGTTTGTGTAAAGATTCATGTATACTCACATATATAAATACAATAAAAAGCATATCGAACACACCCGCCAATATAATAAATAAAAAATATACAAATACACACTCACAGACACCCAGTGTTGATTTCAAAAAAGAGAGAAAACGAGAGAGGAAAATCAAATATTTACATGGACCGAATGAAATTTATATTTTTTGAATTTCCAATTCCATTATTTTAGCGAACGCATAATAGCTTTGTCATGTGGTCCGGAGATGGTTGATACAACATCACTCAAAAAGTTGGCGACACACGGGAAATAAAATCTCAAATTGGGAAAATGAGATTTTGTTTCTGTATCAGCGCTATGTTTTATGATTTTTTCCTGTTTTTTCGAAGTGGACAAGGAGAAGAATAATATAATATATATATATATATAATATATATATATATATATATATATATATATATAATATATTTATATATATATATAATATATTATATATATGTGTGTGTGTGTGTGTGTGTGTGTGTGTGTTGTGTGTGTGTTGTGTTATGTGTATGTTGTATGTGTTATGTGTATGTGTGTGTGTATGTGTATGTGGGGGTGGGTGTGGGTGTGGGTGTGTGTGTGTGTGTGTATGTGTGTGTAAGTTTTTAGAACCCTTGTTAGACAGTTTGATTTGTTCTGTAGTTCAGTGGATGTACGTTTATGTTCATGATAATGACACTTTTTTTTCTTTTACTCGTATATAAAAACTGATGAATTAGCTTCGTTGTAATCTTTATTCTTTCTGCTCTAGTTCACGCACAACACACACACACACACACACACACACACACACACACACACACACAAACACAGACACACACGCACACACACACACGCACACACACACACGCACACACACACACACACGCACACACACCACATACGCACACACACACACACACACACACACACAAAAAAAAAAAGAAAAAAAAATTACTCCGAGATGAGATTCTCTCCTTGGGCTCGGATGCTGCTGCTTACACACCTCTCATCTCCGCCTTTTAGCTTGCCTCTCGTCAGGAGATTTCGTCTTTCGAGAAGTACTTCGTTTGGCAATGTCCTTTGAGTCTCAGAGCCTGAAGGCCTGGAGAGGGAGAGGGAGAGGGGGAGAAAAAAGGGAGGCTGGGATAGAGAGGAAGGTGAGAGGGAAGGAGAGGAAGGTAGAGAGGGAAGGAGAGGAGGTAGAGAGGAGAGGGAAGGGAAGGAGAGGTGTAGATAGCAAGGGAGGAAGGGAAAGAGGAGAGAGAGAGAGAGAGAGAGAGAGAGAGAGAGAGAGAGAGAGAGAGAGAGAGAGAGAGAGAGGAGAGAGAGAGAGAGAGAGAAGAGAGAAGAGAGAGAGAGAGAGAGAGAAATAGAGAGAGGAGAGAGAGGCTGAAACAGGAAGGAGGGCGCAGAGGGGAGGGCGAGCAAGGTAAACATCGCTTTTTGAGACGGTCCTTTTTTTGTTTGTTTGTTTGTTTTTGTCTCGCGCCTTTCTTGGAACTTGAAAATTTATGAGCCTTTACTGACCATCCGGAAACCTGATA